TTGTGAAATGAGTATAATATGATGTACAAGCTAGACGTTCCTGTCTGTCAAAGTTATCAGTGATGCTGATTGTGAAATAAGTATCATATGATGTACAAGTTAGATGTTCCTGTCTGTCAAAGTTATCAGTGATGCTGATTGTGAAATGAGTACCACATGATGTACAAGTTAGATGTTCCTGTCTGTCAAAGTTATCAGTGATGCTGATTGTAAAATGAGTATCATATGATGTACAAGTTAGATGTTCCTGTCTGTCAAAAGCTATCAGTGATGCTGATTGTGAAATGAGTACCATATGATGTACAAGTTAGATGTTTCTGTCTGTCAAAGTTATCAGTGATGCTGATTTAAAAATTAAACAAAATGTTTTGCATGTTTAACAAAGATAATAAAAAATCTGATATGTTTACATATCAGTCAGTTTTACAGAAAATTTCAAGTTATTTATTTCTTCCTGTTGCCAGTTCTGTGTTTTGTTGTCCACCAATGTGTCAGAAGAAAGTTTACAGACTGACAATGCTAAAATCTAGGGTTTGATTCACTGTTGTGTAGCTTTGCACTAAAACAACCAACCAATTAACTACAGGTTTCTTACAGGCAACAGTTAAAGTAAGTGTTGGCAATAGTTAAAGTGAGTGCTGGCGACAGTTAAAGTAAGTACTGGCAATAGTTAAAGTGAGTGCTGGCGACAGTTAAAGTAAGTACTGGCAATAAAGTAAGTGCTGGTGATAGTTAAAGTAAGTACTGGCAATAGTTAAAATAAGTGCTGGTGATAGTTAAAGTAAGTACTGGCAATAGTTAAAATAAGTGCTGACAATTGTTAAAGGAAGTGCTGACAATAGTTAAAGTAAGTGCTGGTGATAGTTAAAGTGTTGGCAACAGTTAAAGTAAGTGCTGGTGACAGTTAAAATAAGTGCTGACAATAGTTAAAGTAAGTGCTGACAATAGTTAAAGTAAGTGCTGGTGACAGTTAAAATAAGTGCTGACAATAGTTAAAGTAAGTGTTGGCAACAGTTAAAGTAAGTGCTGGTGACAGTTAAAGTAAGTGCTGGCGATAGTTAAAGTAAGTGCTGGTGATAGTTAAAGTAAGTACTGGCAATAGTTAAAATAAGTGCTGACAATAGTTAAAGTAAATGCTGGTGATAGTTAAAGTACGTGTTGAGGTTTTAGACATGCCAGATAGTATGTTTAGCATGTTATTATTCTTGTGTTATATTTCCATGGAAAGTTCAGGTATTATTATTTTTTTCTCGATTATTTTGTATCCTTATAAACAATAGTTTTTATGGAAGAAATCCCTAAAGGTTTGTTTACTGATGACGTACTTCTGTCTACATGTATCCGAAGTCGTCGTATCTTTGAATATGTCCTTGTACTGGAACCTATTCTGTAGGGTTAGGTTACATTGTTCAAGCTGTGCCCGTGTTTGTTTATACTGTATGCTCTGTAAATTCATAAAATAAGAAAGGATTTAGGGCTATGCAAAGACCTGCTCTTTCAGAAGGTAGATATTGAAAAGCATTGAAGTTGTCCGATCTTTGTAAACCTTAACAGTACAGTTCGGTAGAACAAGTCAAGTTGTGTAGACAACAGTAGTGTTTTTATTTATATATATATATAATATAGAAATTTAAATTAACTTTTGCAGGCAAGGAGAGAAATAACCGAGATAAAAGCCAAGATTATAAATGTAAGTATACTGATTTTATAAAAGTACAGGGTGTCCCAGAAGTCTGGACTCGTAAGGGAAAAATACACAATTTATTCTTAATTTATTTATTATTCAAATTGCATGCCATTAACAGCCACACACACACACATATATCAATTCTTGATATACTGTGCCATCAGGGTATTTTCTTTCCTGAACTATGTACAACTGACTTTAGAAATGTGTTTCTTTAACTTGAAGAATATAATGTCTATTTTCCCAATTGATCCAGACATCTCGAACACCCTGTACATTATAATATCATACCACGTGTTTCTTGTTCAGAGACTGTTTTGCTTTGTCGTGTTCTATAAATTCTGTAAATTAAGACTCATAACAACACTCAATGTGCTTAGTATCTTATACATTCTTGGCTAAAATGTTTATATATATATTTTCAGATCGCAAGTTTCGTAATAATGATTTTTCTTAGAAGAAAAAAATACACTTTTTCCTGCTAGTTGTACAAACTTGGAAGTTGATCCACTATAATTGTAATCTACTTTTCTACAACTCACTATTTGATCTTAATGTTAAACTGGTAGTAATAAATGTTTAGCGGGAAAGTGACTTAAAAAAAAATGACAAGAATAGTAAACGAGAAGATTAAAAGTTATAATCTATCTGAAAATCAGAAAATGAAACATTATTTACTCCAGTAGGGGTCACTACCAAACAAACAAATTATACCAACAAAATACTATAGTTATTACGTATGCTCAGCAATGTTCCCTTAAATTGTTTTCAATACATGTGCAGAATGAATTTTTTTCATGTGTATCAGTATGATGGCAACGTGCGGATGTTTGAGGGGGGGGGGGGTTATACCATCAACCCTATCGAATCATTAGGCCTCAATGCAATGCTACCAGTTGGTTATTTGTGGGCTTTAGGCCTATCGACTGCCAAGGTCATTAAGGCCGTCAACATGTTGAGACTCCTCACCATTACTGAGGTTTTGCATGCCATTTGATTAGTTGTTGAGATGGAACACTGATCCTCAGTCTCTAAAAGCTAGTTTTTAATTACTTTTTATGTTATTACAGTCATACATATAGTATCTCTCAGGAGCTTTAATAAATTGTTCATGACACTGCTTTATTGAAACGTACTAAGGTTTTATATATATATATATATGATTTTCCAATTAACAGGAAATATTTACTTTCCAACAACTTCCACAGTAGGTGTAATAATGTTAAGATAAGAAACTAGTCGTAAGACATGTTTACATACAATTAACAGGAAATATTTACTTTCCAACAACTTCCACGGTAGGTGTAATAATGTTAAGATAAGAAACTAGTCATAAGACATGTTTACATACCTGGTTTGAGTTTTTAATCAGCTGCAATCTTTTATAGCTGCATTTTTAGCCTACTAATTTGTTGATACGACAATTAAGTATCAAGTTAGGCTTATTTAATTGTTTATGTGCCATTTATTAACGGTAGGGTTTGCATATTGCATTATCTTGAGGGCTTATAATGCTAGAAATTGAGTTTCAATACCTGTGATGGGTTGAGCACAGGTAGCCCATTGTGTGGATTTGTGCTTTATGACAAACAAATACAACACCAAGTGTAAAGAACTGACCAACTGAATTGTATGGACTCGCTCGTGTACTGTGTAAAGAACTGACCAACTGAATTGTATGGACTTGCTCGTTTACTGTGTAAAGATATGACCAACTGAATTGTATGGAGTCGCTCATTTACTGTGTAAAGAACTGACCAACTGAATTGTATGGACTCCCTCATTTACTGTGTAAAGAACTGACCAACTGAATTGTATGGACTCCCTCATTTATTGTGTGAAATGTCTAGGGGACCTTAGCAATAGTTGGCAGAGATAACCACACTATTGATCATATAGTTCTGTGTACATATTTTTTGTGTCTCATGTTATTAGGTCAAGGAATTATAACCAATACCACAAGAGATTGGTATATAAATAGTTTATAAAATGTTTTTAAAGAGCTTATGAGATTTCTAGGATTAAATGAACACTTTTACGAACTGGGTTCAGATCTCAAGCTTGCCAATTTACTGGTTTGTGTTTGTATGAGGTGTAGGTGTTAAGAATAAACTTGGAACCACTCGAGTCTTTTCAAATCCAGTTGATCTCCCCAGGTGTTATCGTTTCGTATTTCTCTTTTTAAATAATAAAACTTTCTATTTTAAAATACACCATAATTGTTCCAGGAGGGAAGCACGGATGAAAAAACTGAAAGTGAAGGATGGGAGGCATCAGAATTTCTACTTGGAAGTCAACGGGGAAGGTGCGGCGTTTCAGTGCCATATCTTTATAATCAGATTGAGCTGACCACAAGGGAACAAAAGAGTCAACAAATTATCTTACTGAAGGTTTGTTCTTTAAAGTACCAATGAAGTTTGAGATGTATGGTTTATCTTTAAACAACAACTTGCTTGGAGAAGCTTTCTCTGTAATTGAAGAATTAATATGTGTGTGTGTGATTTTTGAGCTGTGTTTAAATAATTGAACTTGTGCACAGACCTACAGACATGGTATGAGCTTGATCATAAAAACATCACAGTTGATAACATGCCTAGATTTATTCTATTATTTGTACTTGTATTTTCGTCCTTGAAGCCTTTTACGGGAACTTGTAAGACATACTACAACATTACTGAGTACATACATATACATAAGGCTCCATCAAGTCATTAGTGATTTATCATTCTAAATAACATGATATATATCATAGCTGTAGGAGGCAAGTTAAAAGAGTGGGAGCACCCATTACAGTGAGGGTCCTGGGCTCGCCTTAGGGCTCTGGAAGTTCTCTGGTTCTGGATGAAATTTTTCATTCTCCTGTTTTTCCTGAGAGTAATTTTCGTAATTTTGATGCTTTTCACTGGGACAGACTGAAAAGTTGGCCCTCCCCCATTTCCTACACCGCTGTATATAGTGTTTTATTAGTTTAAAAACAAATTATTGAATCTGAGTACAGTATACAGACAAAAACGCAAGTCACTGACGCAGATGATATTGTGAAGTGAATATATGGTGTATATACATATACAATTACTGTAGTTCATTTTAATGAGATGCTTTCAACGTAACATTTCTGTTTTATTTTACATAGTTTTGTTCATCTTCATTAATTATCGTTGTTTTTTTTATTCAGAGTAGCGGAGAAAGAGAATAGTTCTGAAAACTAGTTAATTTTAGAATGTCTGTGTGAAGCTACACACAGGCGCCATCTGTAATAGCTGTCCCTAATATTGAACTGAGAGATCAGAGGAAAGGCAAGTTAATCGACAATACTCACTAACAACTCTAGGACTAATCTTGTTAGCACCGAGTAGTGGGATTTGACTATCTCTCGTGTAGCTGACCTACATCCTCAAACTGTCGAGTGCTTCTTCTTTCGTCGCAATAGGACGTAAACTGTGAAATCTTAGATGATAAATTAGACGTACGAAACCAAACTACTTTGATATAAAAACACTACTCAGATATGGCCCTCTTGTGGCTCAGCAGTAAGACTGACGACTTACAATCCTAAAAAACAAACAAATAAAATACTCTAATATGTTCTGTTCTTCTCATTGCTAGGAGGTTATCTATGAGATCAAGAAAGAGTTCAATAGAAAGTTTGATGCTCTGTACCAAGAGAAGGTGAAGGAAGTTGGTCGCATACAAGAGAGAAATAAGAGGATCAAAGAGATTTTAAATGATCTTGGACGAGAGGAGTCTGTATTTGAACCGTCGTGGGATGTAGAAGAAGAAACAGAAAGACTGCTGGTCGTCGAAGATGAGGAGGTGAGTAGTAAAACAATATGTGAAATATATATATACAAAGTTGTGGATTGTATGTATGGAAGGAGTTCCATCCTTAGCACTGTTTTATCTCGTCAAACCTTTTGTTCTTGTTATACATATTACTGCATTGCAGGTGACTGAAAATCGGAATTGGCATCGTTTGCACGAAAAAACAGTACGAGAAATATGACACGTTTTTAGGATTTTAGCACATCCTAAAAATGTCTTACTTCTCGTATCGTAGATCTTAGCACACATCCTGATAATCAAATTTAATAAATTCACCCCTTTACTCTGTGCATAATTATATAAATATACATATAGTTTGTAGTAATAGAATCTGTCTCATTTAAGTCTACCATTTTAACTTTATATATAAATATTTTCCTGTAGTTTAAGGTGCTTTACTTACAACAGAATCGATAAATTCGTGTCATTGAGTTCGTATTACAGAAATAAGGGTGAAGTGTTTTGTTCTCCACGTTAATATTGTCTGTGTATTAGTAGGTATAGAATCAGTGGCTACAGGTAGCAAAAAAATGTAACGTAACCATTCTTCCTCAATCACAATTCTGTTAAAACGTTTCGTAAACTTCAATCAGAGATGGGCTAATAATTTTCCTTATTGTGACTAAAAATATTTACTTCTTCACATGCTACTGTTACTACCTAAATTGAAAGGTTGTTGTTTTACATAGTAATAGTTTAGAATATTTTTCTAGATAACAGCCGAGAGATACCTATCTCCCGAAGAAAGAAAACAGGAAAAAGAAAGGCTTGTACAAGAAAAACTGAAGAGAGAAATGCAACAGGTATATAAATATATGTTGAATTAACTGTAGTAATTTATACTAGAGTTACTTATTTATGGGTGCAGCGTGGCTTCGTGCTTTGGACTCGTAATCAGATGGTTCTGAGTTCAAGGCTGGCCCTCGTCACCTTGTCGTGTCCGCGAGCAAGATACTTTACCCCACTTGTTCCAGTCTACCCAGCTATTAGTTGGGGGTTAATCTGCAGTAGACTGGCACCTCCTCCAGGGGGGGGGGGGGCGTACCAACATTCTCATCCGCTTGTGCCAACTAAGCCGGAGATCAGCACCGGATCCTACGTACCATCTTGACAAGAGGAGGACTTGACTTGTTTAACTAATTTATAGTACTAGAAATGTTTTAATTTATGTTTAATAAATTATTATGTCTTTGGTGGAACAGTAAGTCATATACATGTAGTAAGAACCTGTGAGACTGCAAAAAGCCAGCTTCTTTCCAACAAACATAATACCGTAACTGCAGTTGTCAGCATTTGACTTGTATTGTCAATAATTAGTTTGTTGTTTCTGGGTGTGAAGTACCATATTTCTGTAATATATTTCTTATTTTGATAGAGGAATTATGTGCTTAAAGAAGCTGCAAAGTTCAAGATAAATCTCAAACATTAATGTATTGGCAAAAGATACACCTTTAATACAGTCAGTCTAATGATGATCCTAGAAACTAAACTGAAATATCATGGTCAAAAACACGATCTGTGTGTCTTTCATAATTAGCTTACACGGTGAACCTGTTTACTGAAACAACATTAGTTTTGAAAACATATTTGGTAGGAGGATAACATGAAGGAACTGGCACTGCAGAAGATGATGGGTGGTGTTCTGGAAGTTCGTAAAGAAGATGAATTCAAGAAGGTAAGAACAGTTCGTTTACATCCGCTTCGTGCAGAACTGTAGATTAAAATCTATCTAAATAATTGTTTATATAATGAATGAATATGTACACGTTAAGTCGTTTATGTGATCTAGAAGATGAATTCAAGAAGGTAAGAACAGTTCGTTTACATCCGCTTCGTGCAGAACTGTAGATTAAAATCTATCTAAATAATTGTTTATATAATGAATGAATATGTACACGTTAAATCGTTTATGTGATCTAGAAGATAGCATTATCTTATTTTAAACCTAAATCTCTTGGTCTAATTGGATTTTTCTAATTAGCCTCTAAATTATGATTTTTAATTACTCTTAATTCATTAGAATACAACTTTTACATGATTCTTATATTATCAAAAGTTAAAAATCATAATGTGTTTTAAGAATCACAATTTCCCTGAATCTATGTTAACAGTGTGTTCTGTGTTAACAGTGTGTATCTGAGGATCCATGGTTCATGTTTCACTGGCACTAAAACAAGTTCCACTCTTTAGGGCCATGGGTGTATTATAGGAGTGACGGTCAAATGCCACTATTTGATTAGAGTAGCCCAAGAGTTGGTGGTGGGTACTGTTGACTAGCTGCCTTCCCTCTAGTTTATCACTTTAGAAATATCGATGCAGATAGCCCTTGTGTAGCTTTGTGATCATTTTAATGTAACATAAAAGGACAGCAATGAATCATTCTGTCCACCTAGACTGTCTTATTCACTAAGTTAAACTAAACCTTTTAAAAAAAAAACACTTCAAAGTTAGCTCTTATCATTCATATATTTATTAAACGTTTTTTTAAACTTCCTTAGATAAACTGGATTCACCACATCCAAATACAATCAATTCCAGACGCCAACAACTCTGTGAGAAAAATAAAGTTGTCTTAGCTGAAGATGACTTTTTCCCTTGTCCAAATTTTATACTTGTGTTCCGTAGTCTTTCCACTCTCACCGTTAAATATAAACACTTAACAATCTTAACCACCTCAATCAGATTCCCACTAACTCATCTTTTATCATGAGAAAACAATTTCAGAGATCTTAACCTGTCCTCTTATGATAACCTATCCATCCCAGGTATCATCGTTGTAACCCTCCTCTGAACCATTTTCAACAATTCAATGTCCTTTCTAAGGTAAAGAGCCCAAGAGTGAACACAATACTCCAAATGTGGCCTAACCATTGACTTATACAATAACATTATAACCTCTTAGACTTCTATTCAATATTACTGTAGGTACAACCTAAAATCCTATTTGGTGTACCACTAACAACAGTACATTATTTGGATAGTTTAAGAACATCCAGATCTTTCTCTTCCATTACACAGTTAAGGTTATTCCTATCCAAAATTATACTTATAATTCAAATTATGATAACCCACATACACTACCTTGCATTTATTATAATTAAAAACCATGTGCCATTTATTCGCCTAACCCCCCAAAAAATAGTCCAAATATTTTTGTAAGGCAGCAACATCCTCCTGATAGCCAGCAACACCCAACATTTTAATGGCATCAGATAAATTAATTTAATATAATTTTTACAAGTGCTGAAAAGGACTTTTAATGTATCATAAAATTTTTCAGAGTTTCCTAGTTCGGTCTTAGCAATATGTGTGTTGGTTATGATTTTGAAACCATTAAATAACACTATTTCATTCACCTGGCATGGCCTGGTGATTAGGGTGCTCGACTCGCAACCTGAGGGTCACGAGTTCAAATTCCTGTCACTTCACATACAGAATTCACTAGTTCTTTAGTTCAGACAAGAAAAACTTGTCCCTGGTTTCATAAAAACAGTTATGAGTACAAACAGACCAGCCGTGTCCATACTTCTGGATTAATAGCAGCCTATACTGTAATAGTGTAACATCCTAAGCCTATTCCCCACTTCCAGTGTGTTTAAATATCACAATTTTTTGTAACATAACTAGAGATTATTGCTTCCAGGCTTGTGTATCAAGAAATTTGTTACACAGGTGTATGTACTGTATCAAATATTTTTTTTGTATAGAATAAAAAACTATTAGTGTCTTTCTGTTCCTCTCCTCACAAATATAGCTTCTATTTTTCTTAATGTTGAGCCTGGCATGGCCTGGTGGTTAGGCATTGACTCGCAATCCCCATCACTGAACATGTTGGTCCTTTCAGCTATGGAGACATTATAATGTGATGTTCTGTCCCTCTATCCATTGGTAACAGAGTAACCCAAGAGTTAATAACGACTGGTGTTGACTAGCTGTCTTCCCTCTAGTCTATCACTGCTAAATTAGGGTCGGCTAGTGCAGATAGCCCTCATGTAGCTTTGCGGGAAATTCAAAAGAAAACAAACCTAATAATTTCCCTAATACTGCAGTGAAGAGTTTTGGGTAATTTTAAATATTGCTTTCTTAAAATGTCTTAACCAAAAAATATTTAAAAAGGAAACATACATAAACATAATAAAGTTACATATCCATCGTCAGTTTTTCAACAACAAGACACAATTCACATCAACACGTAGCACATGAAGAGAAAAGGTTATCAGTTAAGTGACTGATTAAAAGAAAATGGTAATTTTTTTTTACGTTTTCTAATTTACAGGATCCCACCCCTCCCGACTTCATGGTCAGTAAGCCTCGGTCAGAATGGACTAAAGAGGAATGTCAAGAGGCAAAGGAGTTTGAAGAGAAAGTGAAAGAATTTAATGGAGAAAAAGAAAAACTCTATCGTCAACTTGAAGTGGAGCTCCAAAAACTAGAAAATTCGGTACAAGACTCAACAACAGCATTTGATTTCAAATTAAAGGATCTTTTTCAGAATAAAATTCTCACTGATAGTGTTATTTATCAGGTACGTGTGATTGTAGTGGAAAATTAGGTATTGTTCCTCAAAGTGACAGTCGTAGATGGAAAGATTTAATATATATATAAAATTAAAATAAGGTTCACTTGGAATCATTTAAAACAAGTGACTTTCAAACCTTGGTTTGTCTCTCACTGAACAAGTAAAACTACTTTCTATGCATTCTTGTTCACTTTTAATACTAATTACTTTAAAAGTTTGTGAAACAATAAAGCTGCCAACGTGAGTCAGAGGCCTGGAGAGTATAGAAAATGATTTGAACGAGATACATGCGAATAAATCCATCAAGTTTCTATGGACATACAAGAGTTAAAACATTTACTGAGGGCTTTTCATCACAATTGACCACTTTCTGGTTGTGGATCCTTCCAGCAACCGGCACGGGTATTTCCGTTGATTCTTAAAAATGCGGCATAAATAAGATGATCGGTGTTCCCCGAAACAAGTTTGATAATACTTGGATTCTTGTTTGAACTTAGCTGAAGTTTTGACTTCTCGCATCTTCTTGAAGAAGTAAGAAAATTGTGATGATAAATTTGTTTCGTATGTTGTCAGTATAGTGTTGAGTCTATATTAATACTTTGTTTGTTACAGGTTATAGAAGATCATACAAAAAAAGTAATTTTTTATTTTTCTCTTAAGACATTCATCCAAATTTAAATATAAAAATAAGGATCAAGGTAGAGTCATCTGAAGATATAAAGTGTTTAGTTTACTTTACACATTAATAAGCTCTTGTTATTGATCCAGTTTTCAGAAAATGTAATTTAACTATAAATAACAACCACTATTTAATTATGTAAAACATTTGTTAAACGTTTTTGAATCTTCAGAAAGATTGAGATTCTATGTTTTTCTATCTTACTGAAGTTGGAATTCTGAATATTCGGAAACATTTAGTAAGTATTTCATGTAGTTAAATTGTGGTTGTTGATATTGTTGTTTCAGAATCTACACTTACTGTGATTCAATATTAACGGTTAGGCTAAAAGCCATAATCTTGGTACAGGTAGCAAGGTGATAAGGGTGTTACTCTATTTCTTCATCTAAACCTGACAGTCAGTTATTTCTCAGTATTTACCGTTCATCGTAAATTACCTCCTGCCCTTTCTTTGTAAAAATATATAATAAGTTTCAGTTCTCCCCCGAAGAGTTG